TTGAAAGGATAGGAAGTGTCGCAAAGTTTTGGAGCCCGGAAGGAAACACCACAGCACTCCGCCTTTTGGTTCCAGGACCTGGGTTACACTAAAATAATCGGAAAAGAGTGTGTTTAGGATTACCTAGCAGATCCGGTTTTTCCTGCAATGACGTCTTAGGCGTAGGTGTTTGTTGCTCTTGTGGGGTATCTAATTTTGGTTTAGGCCGTTTACGACGACACAGCAGTATAAACACGGTGATGAACAGCACCACCACCAGTACGATCACCTGAAATTATTAGTTTAAAATTGAGAGCAATACTCAAACATTAGAAAAAGCAGTAGTTTCAATAGTTTCCAGTAGTAGCAGGAAATTTTCAATCTACGATTTCATAGCGGAAATTGCTTACCGGGAGCTGATCACTAGCCGGTATCAAACGCGATTTTGGAAATCGCGTCTCTTTCCGTTTGCCGTCAGAAGCTTTCTCCTTCTCGGATCGCTCTTGCACGTCCACATCACTTGGAATGATAGTGATGGGAAGAATAAGACGAGCCGGCTGTACACTATCCGCACGAACTTCCAACTCCAGCTCTTCAGTGACCTGTATGTGGAGCATATTACAAGCTTGGAAAGCAGTAGTGCAGTGTCAGTTCGACTTTGTACAAATCTTGGCATAAAGGATAAAGGATAAAGCATTTGCCGTTGATCAATCCCTTTTTGGGATGCGGCACGCATTCTACTTCCATTTGTACATTCGTAGTGGCGTTTGAATGCGATGTGGCCTATACAATGACTTGCGGGGGCCAGCCGATGTTCAAGTCAGTGTTTTTATCCTCCCAGACAAGTCTGGTACCAATTAACCGACCCCGGAGGGATGGAAGGCTTGGTTGGCCCGGGCGACTCACGACCCAGGATTTGATCCCGGACCGCTCGCGTGTAAGCGTCACTGCCACCAACCAGTTCCGCACCTAATACTTTGGCATCATCTTTCAAAATAGAAGTGAGTTACTAACTACCAACCAACGATAGCATTAAGAGTATGTGGCCGTTAAGCAGCTTGTGGGTCCCTGATTGATCTCATCAGTCCACCACACTCTTATGCATCCAGATCAGCGGGGGATGTTACATTAATTTACATAACTGTCTGCTCGGTTAACATCTATTAAAAACAGACTTGTATCTTTAGACATCAATGGCCCTATGATTGCCATTAGCTAGATCTGCGTAATCCGGGCCGTATGACTAGTTAGCGGGGGTGTAATCCTTTTTTAACCACTCCGTACCAATAATAGCCACTTAAGGCTAATTGACACAAAGATATACTTGTCGAGAGAATCCTTACTGACTGAAGACTGTATGAACAATTTGACGTCAATGGAACGTCGCGATCCAAATTCATGAGAACTTAAAACAAAGACGTGCGAAGGGGAAACGTATAGGGTGAAAATCAAAAAGGTCGACGAGAGAACAGCGTTAACAGGAGTGGCACAACACTAAGGGCGCACGTCGTAGGCGATAGAGGCAGACACTGTGTACTGCTCAAATGACAAACGTGACATCAGCGTCGCAGCGGCAAGAGCCGAAGACATTAGCTAACCATGTCGCGCAGTTTTCGAGTCCGGAACAATACGCCTAACTCTTTCGACTAAGGTCTCCTGCTACTGCAAAGGCACCTCCTCTGCACACGAATGCGAATGTATTGGTGCGAAATGGGCCGGCAGTAAAGAAAAAGGAAAAGAATCCGTCGAAAACGCTCAGGTTAAGGGCTCACTCACCTTCCTAATCGGCTGTGCTAAGGGAATGAGAGACTAAGCGCGGAGAGGAGAGTATGAGGCGAGAGAGCGCTACAGATGAGAGAGCGCCAGACAACAGCCTGATAAGAGAAAAAAGTTTGCAGCTTCAGCAGCTTGATTTGCAAGGCCCGCGCGCTTCTTGTTGGTTTTCGCGCACGGGAACGCCACATTTGTGATTGTCCTCTAGGGGTCCATGCCATAGACCAAAGGGAAGCGTTCATACGACCGTTGCCTAGGTTGTGCCTTTAATCGTAATAACTATCTAAGAATCTTCCATAGCGATCTCGGCCTTCAATTAAATTTTCCATAAATTAGGCGCAAAATAGAATTGAAGAGAGTTCGATCCACAAATCGAGCATGTGGGGTACCTCGACAGGAGGCCCGTCGCGAAACGAGAAGGCAGCGACGGAGACAAGTTTTAGCGCGTGTTGAGCGATGTGGTTGGTACTACAGTACATACATTCTGTTTAACTCGACGCCAAATCGCTACACTACGCGAAGCGATTCGTCCGCTGACCGCTCTGCGTATTTGCCTTCTCGCCGCGCGAGGGGCCTTCTGTCCAGTATCCGAGCAGGCGATTTCAGCGCCAAGTGCCACTGCGCAATGTTTTCAATCAGAAGGAAACAAAGTCGGAGAAAATAAACTAATTACCTCTCTATCGGTAGCAAAGGCCTGATAATACACACGGCCTCGGAGGATATCCGGGAAAGTGAAGAAAAGTGCTGAATGATTCAATACGGGATCGAGAGAAATTCTACCGTAACGAGGGGTAGCAGTGACAAGAAACCGGGGAGTTGAACCCTGAAAAAGAACTTTATTATCGTTCCAATTTGGAACAGTGAACTCAAAAGGAACCTGTAGAGCGGTGGCGTTGAGTTGACTGGGCGTCAGTGGAACCGCAGTGTTAGTTTCCACAATCACCGGCTGAGCAGTAACCAACGATTTCACACGAATTTCTGATCGATTTCGTACCACTCCCTTCTCGGAGTTGGCCAGAAGAAACTCAAAACTGTCCTAGAAAGCGACTTTTGACATGGCTCATGAAAAAAGCTATTTCTCATAGCACAAGTTAAAGCTTTCGTCTTCGTTTTGAGGAACAATCCACGTGTAAAGTGAACGTTTTGGGAGAACGGGAGTGACGAGCATATGACAAGATACGTATTGATTGGAGGGATGAGAAAGATTGGAAAGATAAAATTGTGATTAGGCTCTCGTCAGTCCCTCTTTTTTGATGAGCACATATTCCACTTCCATTCACAATAGAAATGCCCTTTTAAATGCAATAGGGGCTATACAATGGCTAGTGAGGGCCGTGGCGGCGTAGAAGAAATCCGTCTTTTTTTCTTAGACGGTTCTGGCACCTAATAGGACCGCCTGGACGGATGGAAGGCCTTGGTTGGCCTTAAAAACACACGATTCAGGATTTGATCCCTGGATCGCACTCGGGGTAAGCAGCACCACCACATACCCCTCTCTAAAAGAATAGAAAACTAGGAAAATGGGAGAACTCGCCTCTACAATACGATACAAAGTGATGATTAGACTAAAAAACTAGCGGTCTCTTGATCTCCTATGCTCCCGTTCTCGCATTCTCAACTTAATCCAACGACTAATATTTCCAGCGGACACTCCTCCTCTTTATCGTGAAGCGGTAAGTCCGGGGAGCTAACAGATCGAAACCCAATCTGCTATTGCAAATTTTCCCATGCACATTACACTCAGAAAAAATGGTCACCGCCTCTCACGGCGGGTTGCCGCTCGCAGGATATACTACCACGGGTGGCGGCGTGGTTGCCGGCGACACCGCAATAGGTACTCTTGACCCAAGTCGACGCAGAAACACTGGCTAAATGAGGTTTGGTTACAACATACCTCTTTATGGTTAGTCCCCTCTACCTGAGGGCTCACTGCCAGGGGGAGGTAGGAAGGGGAGCTGTGGAGCACTCTGTATAATGATGCCCCACCCAATGACTTTGACATCCAGGCCTTTTTATCAACTAACCTTATAAGAATGCATATTGAGTTGAGCGTACAGGATTTTTCCATCATCAATATCCTTCTGAGTAAACAGCTTCGCTTCTTTTTCACCAGCCACCCAGTAGAAGGTTCCGTTTTCAGGTCCACTGGTGATCTAAAAGGAACATGAAGCTAGGAAGTAAGAGTTGGAATATTCAAGGCTGTTTCCATAACGAAAAAATAAGGCGAGATTCGGTAGCTCCTAACGTAAACCCGCCCGCTCTGGCGCTCATAACATATAGTTATACTATTAGGTTGGAAAGAAAGTTCTGCAACACTCTTTCCAAAATTTTCTTTTTTTCTGAAAAATTCATAGGTAACATTTATGACTACCAAATGATAGAGCATTCTCAAGGCTTCAATCCACGAGGTGGATATAAGTTCTGCAGTCAGTAGTTATCCAAGAAAATTCAAAAAATCTCGACCACTAGCAAATCCGTACTCCGAGTCACTGTCTAGTACAAATGTCTACAAAACCATGGATTCGTGTCAACGACTGACACTATCTGCAATAGCTTCTAATGGCATGCGTTCAGCGATACAGCGTGTTTCACCTTTACCAGCGCTTCCGATCTTTTGATATTTTTATAAGAAGCCAGCAGCATCCCTCACACTCCATTACAGGTAGGGCTCTTACAGAAGCTCCACTACATACCCTTCGTTATGGGCACCATTGTGTAGGCAGTGGCCTAGGTTGTGGAAGTACCAGAAGCTGGCCGAGGTAGCTCGTCAAGAGCCCTCGTACCGCGACAATATTCATTTCTTTCATGACATTGCGAATCACCATGATCCGAAATGAGCCCGGTAAGAAATTCTGGAGTTGCGGCAAGATTTCTTTCCTCTCTTAGCGTAATCCCTGGTCGAGCTGTAAATAAGTGCTACCTATCCTGGACCTTTAATCATCATCTTGATAACGAAATAATCAGACGATCAACTCCAACTCGAAAGTGAGGTCGCCTCCTTTCTCGACTCGCACTCCGCTGGGTTTTGGCAAAGGAGCATCAAGAATTTTCTGAGCGTTGGAGACAAGTGGTGGACACTCATGGTAGATATAAGACCGGTCAGAAGTTGTAACCAAAAAGATAAAATTAAAATCAAAAATTTGAAAAAGTGTTGCAGGACTTTCTTTCCAACCTAATATCGATCACACTCGCGTAAAATCGATATCTTCGCAATGTGTGAGGGCGCTTACGTGTGAATGGGGAATAAACACTAGCAAGCACAGCAAGCACTATGCATTCAAGTTCTTTAACGCTCCTTTCCCATAGGAATCCTCTGGGACTCACCTTGTACGTTATAGCAGATCTGTCACCATTCGAATATGCACCAAGATGGGTCCTGAAACGAGCACCTGATTCTGTGACAGTGACAATCTGAGGAGAGTAAGGCAACGCACTGATTTAGCAGCACATAGGTTTTGCCCTGAGGATACTCAATGACTGTGTGATTCTCCAAGGCAAGATCAAGTGGCTTTATTTTGACGACAAGGGCTCGTGAGTGACCCTCAACGGATAAGGTGACCACGTCGTACGATGACATCACCATCGACGATGGTATATGACCGATCGATACCAAACCTTCGTTGACCTGCAAAAAATCAATAAATTATGAGTGGAATGTTTGCAATTGTTTGAAAGCCAGCCCCTTCACAAGGACTCACAGACAGCTGATACCCGACAAGAGAAACGTTGTGCGGCGAGAAGGTAGAGACGCAGACGGTCAGCGGACGAGTCGCAGCGCGTACTGCAGTGAAATTCTCAAGTTGAATAGAATGTACTATAGTACGTCCCACATCGCACAGCACGCGCTGCGACTCGTCCGCTGACCCGTCTGCGTCTCTGCCTTCTCCCGCGCGACGGGCCTCCTGTCGGGACACCGACCAGACAGGACGCCCGTCGGGTACCCCAGACAGCGCTCTAGACGCCTCACCCCTTTCACTTATCGGCACATTCTCATGAGCTCCGAACTACCACTCTTGAATTACGACCAACAATCGCCCACGTCTTCATTCAGCCTTATTTTCTCACATGTCTCACTCTCCTACTCAGCTTACTGGTAACATTGAAACCCTACTCGCCCAGAGGACTTGGAAAAAACCTTCGCCG